GCATCTTATTAGACAAACAGAGGCAGCACCTAAGGACGCAAGCTTGTACGCCAACAAACGGCACACCTCCATCGTCTCTACATTTTCAGTTCATATACTGTTAATGGATTAAATTGTAAATGTATGGTAACTGCTAATTTATTACTTATTGAAATACCCACAAGAGTTTCACCTAACAAGTATTTCATTTGTATTAATAAACAGATTAAGGATTTAATCTAGAATACATGAACAGTAATTACAAACACTACAACGCCATAAAATTCCAGAGCTCAAACGGAATTCAAATTAACTTTACAAAGATATAGAGAGAAAACAGAAAAGCAACACATTAGAGAAGCTGGAAGCAGATCGTGTTTGGCCTGATAAATGACTTCGGTGATTATCAAAATTGTTTGTAGCAATTTTCTGTCCATACACTACTTGATGAATTTACTATTCAACATTTATTATCATTTCAGCACTAATTCAAAATCCTGACAACCGTGCCAGAAATGCAGCCACTTAACTGCATTAAAACAAAGTCCCTTTCCCTTTTGAGACTTACCACTAAGTTTGTTAGATGTACCGTATGTCACGTAGAATCCCCACAGGGCTGACCACTCAGTTAGGATTGTTTCTAATACATACATTTGTTTGTGTTCCATTTGAAGGAGCTCTGTGTAATCCGTTGTGCACACTGATGCAAGAAATGATAATCTCCCCCAGATGGTCATGTGTTACTTCAGGCAGGTGGAGGGCATATGGATGACAGACCACTAACCCAAACGCTGCTTCCGCCACCTAGAAGAAGGCTCAGAAGGCCTGGCATGCTGTATGTTACTTCCTACCAGCCTGCCAAGGACAGACACACACACACACACTCTCTCTCTGTCCAAGGCAGATCTCTCAGGAGTATGAACACTAGTCTCTCATACATATCCACTTACACAGTTTTTCTTGGAGAAAATTGAGGCTGACGAACTTGTAGGCATGACTATATAATCCCAGCTTTAGGGATGTTCAGGGAGAGGCAGAATTGATGGACTATGAGGGGACAGTGCAGCCATCCTCCATAGCAACAGATGAGAGTCTGACATCAGGACTCAACCGGGAAGGAGTGGGGCGGGGGGGGGGGGGGGGGGGGGAGCAGAGTCCCGCTGTGCATCGCCCTTTCTACCTCCCGCCTTTCATTCTTTCCAGCCCGGTCGGCTGCTGTAACTGACTCAGTGGCTGCTCCTTTACTGACCGTCACAACAGTAGGTCCGGCTGACTGTGACCTTACAGCAACACAGAGCACCACGGAGGCAGGAATTGCTCGCTCTGGCAGCAAGGCTACGTCTGCTTGAAGCAAAGGTTTGTTACTGATCATCAGCAGTGGACAGATACACTGGGGCTGCCCCCTCTTAGTCAGTGATTGTTAGGGTGTTTGCTGATTCTGACAATTTTGTTAATTTCATAAACACCAGATTGTGGCATCCTGGTGGGCAAGGGTTGAAATCGTTGACCATGAAATTGCTACAGCCCTGGTTCAAGTCCAGTCTCACCCTTATTTCCTGTCACCTGTCCACTTTCTGCTGATAAAAGGCTAAATGCCTACTGAAACATTCCCTTTGCATTCATTTGCAAGCACTGAATGATCCTGAAGAAAGAATTTAACAGATTTTTCACTTACATCAAGAAGAGTCAAAGAAATCGTTTGACTCCTTTTCCTCTGTGCTGTTTTGTTAACACCTACAGTAAAACATCACACCCATGGCAGATATTTTCAACTCATCTTTTTCCTAAAATTCGGAATTACATGTTGAGTTCATCTTATTCCAGCTCAAACTAATATTACCCAGTGTTTTATAGTCAACTTTGGGTGTATACATTTAATACAACCAGGCAACTGCATGCATATGGAAGATCATGTGATATACAATGAAAAAAGCCTTAGAAAAGCTACTAAATTGGCCTTGTGCTGAGATCATTTTGAACTGCTGTTTTCAAGGTCAATTTCAGTAACCGAGTTTGTGTTTGACTGACAGCTGCAACGGCCTATCACACTTAACCATAATGAATACTCATTACTAGGCCCACTTCAGTTCCACCACTCTGCCGAAAATTCACTAAAAGTTACCCTAAATTTTTTCAATCCCATGTCCTAAAAATTATGTTTGCACACCACTAAACTTTTTCCCAAATATATTTAGGAGGAAATGGATTATGTTCACTGGCAGTGTTTTGTCTAGTGGAAGAAGTGGTTCGTATTTCTACAATGCTGAAGAAGGGAGACTGACAAGACCAGTCACACCACCATCTTTCTCTAAACATCAAGTGATTCGAGTGCGGAAACATGACCATAAAAAAGAAAAACATGCCTTGGCTGGCGGAAGATAATCTTGTAGGAAAACCAATGAAATACACTGTCAGTGAACATCACAGGGTGATCCAGGCTGCAGTGCATTTTTTTAACGTATTTTTTGGTGTAGATTAGTAGAATATACGCATTTCTAGAAGACAGTGTTGGTGTTTCTCGCTCCAGTAACTGCCAAAGATTGCTGCGAGTGTTAAACCCAAATCCAAGGTTGACAGTGTCTCTTTCAGAAAACATGAACTTTGGTCTATCAGTGTGTGTGATGTTTATTTTATAAACTTGAGGATACGGTATGGAAATGCTGGGTGAGCAAAGCCTTGATCCTGCTCCGGTAGGCTTGTGGACCGCGGACATGCTCAAGCTTCTATACGTATTATAAATCGGGTTGAAGGTGGGATTGTATACAAAGTTATGTTCCGAAAATCAGTAGAAAACGTGATGCAACTTGACAGCAGGTAGAAGAGCTTCTGTTGTATTGTACGAAAAAGCCAAAAAAGAAATCAGTGTGTGTGATCACTTAATGACTAAGTATAATTAAATAGAACCAAGCATGGGAAATACAGTACATAATGTAGAGTACATGAAACAAGTGTCCAGTTTATTTTTCTGGGGCACAAAGACTTGCTGACAGAAATTTACACCACGTGGACATTTGCACATCTAAAGCTTGAACTGGCCTTCTGTTACTGTTCTGTGGGAATAAACAGGCTGTTAATCGTCTCCATGTTGAGCATGGGGTCAGCCGTACAAACTATGATTCAGGAGTGTACATGACGGTGCTATAGCGTTGTTTAAAGCCCTGCTGCTGTTTCTATGAGACGATGACTCAATGACTGGCGTCTCGATCTGTCCCAGACTGCCGCTCTTGTCTCCTGCTGCTCACAGTGATTGGACTTTTCACAGCACATAAGGTACCATTAAACAAACACACTGCTGGCGGCGGCGGGTGGGGGGGAGAGAGGGTTGATGAGCAGAGATGACAGAAAGGTAGAGACAAAATGTAAATGGAGGATGTGGATGAAGCCTGAGGTGTGCCTTTGTCCGTGCCTCATTCACGGCTGAGACGCAGCTCTCTGCTGGTCCCTATGGAGCTCAGGATGAGTCTTAGTGTACGTCAGCCAAGAGCATGGTGACATATGTGCCATTATTTATAGCCAGCAGATCCGCTGAGAGGCCCAGGGGCTGCTTAGAGAAGGTATTAATTTGAGAACCCAAACACCAACTTGCCCACCATCAAGCTCACAGAATATTTAGCAGCACATAAGAACCCACAAACACACGACACAAACCTCTCTCCTCAGGAGAGGTACTAATACTGCCATCAGAGTAGAATTACAGCCAAGATAATCAAGTATCGCTGAGACCAGTATTTACTACATCCCAAGTGATGAGCTAAAACAAAAGCGTGGATGTAAGACAACAGAAAGCCAGCTTCTCATTCTGAAGTGACACTTTTTACCACACTAGAACTAACTAAACTGAAATACGGGTCCCCCGTGGCACATTTCCTGCTTCGCAGTAGAGCATTCTCACTCATTTTCCATTTAGTGCACCAGTGAGGTAAAGCAAGTCATAGCTCTGACAGATTTAAGCTATGATTACAGAGGGATTAGCAGTTTCACTGTGGCGCCCCGCCTGGGAACTCAGTGACGGACGATGAGGTAGATTTATGTCCCCACCCCCAACAATCAGGACACGGTGCTGCTTTGCCTCCATCGTTACACCAAAATATGTGTTGGAAGGGTTAATGGTAAGTCAATTAGAGTGTGGATCTAATCCACATGAGGCAAAGTTCATCTCTTAGTAGACAGTAGGATTATGGCGGGAGGTTCCCTCGCTTGGGGTGGTGCTCCACCTGAATCCACGTCCTCCAATCCTCTGCAAGAAAGCTGCAGCCCAGTAAACAACTCTAGCCATCCGCCCCCATCTGTGGAAAACTCACCACTGAGATGGACTTACAATGCCATGTATTATTCAGCCCTCCGCCACCACCACCACATGGTTAACTGAGCAAGAAGCATGGTAAAAGTCAAGGTTGCAATAAAGTGTCTGGATAAAGGCCACACACATTAACAAATGTTCGCCCCAAGGCCAGGACAAGACAAGAAAGGAGAGCCAAATTCCAAATGTGCTCTGTTCAATAATCAAGCTGCTAATATGGTCAAGCAGGAGATTGTGCTCAGACCAATTCACCTGCTGCATTTTCCCCTCTGCTGGGGTTTTAATCAGCTGCTTTCATCATTGCAGGGACAAGCTGAACTAGTTTCATGTGGGGTTTTTTTTTCCATTAGGACTGTATGCTGGTGCATACAGTATATGAAAACACTGTCAGAGGCAGAGTATTGACTAAATGCCCCAGCTGCATTTCATTTGTCCTGCAACAATATAATGAGCAGAATGAGAGTGCACGGGGGGGGGGGGCACACTGGGTATCTTCGCTTGAGAATCTCCTACATTAACATCAGCCTGGGATCCTACATGGCGGGAAATAATGATCAGCGTTGATATTCCACTCCGTTAGATGGCCACTGCCTGGAGCTAAATTGGGCACTGGGGTGAAGGTGCAGCAGACACCGCGTTTGGTCCAATTATCACAAAGTATTACATTGACCCATTCCCTGCTGCAACAACTCATACCAGGTAATATACATAGACTTCTTACCTCTTGGATCAGGCGTTTTCGAAGGGTTTCCACGTCCAGGAGATGCAGTCGATGATCAAGGCATTGTAGTTTTTCACTTCAACATAATTCCATTACCGTTTGTAATCTCCCCTCTTGGATCCCCGGTATTGCCGGTGGATCACTCTTTTCCCCTTGCGCGTGAAACCCGAGCGAGCCACCGCTCTCACCACACTACTGCGAGCACGCAACTCCACTGGCTCCCAGCATCGATCAGCTCCAAATGTGGGCTATTTTAAGTTTGAGAAGACGCGAAAGCATGAATAAACTTTCAGGGGAGTCAGGCATTTCTGCTCTGATACGCGTTTAAATAAACATCCACTCACATCGCTCTGAAGGGAAGAAAGAAGACAGTGTCCTCTCGGAGCGGAATGAAAATCTCCGCGCTCTGCGATGTTGTCTGCGTTTTGATGCGCCTGCCTGCAGCCTGTAGTTCCCTCCACGCACTGACTGCGCCCTGTGAGTTGACGGCAGAGACAGTGAGAGAGGCAGCAAGTGGACTGGAAATGTATTGACATATGACACATTTAAAATGCAAACATGGGGCTTCTCATATCACGCTCAGTTTATCATTAATAGAAACAGCAGCTTATATAGCAAATATTGGCTCCAGCCCCCCGACCCTGTATGCAGAATAACCGGTTGGCAATGGATGGATGGATGGATGAGATTTGTAGTTGGTCATTTGAAATTATTTTCCTTGGATCACTGTGAGCCTTGGTATCCCAGATTTTGTGTTCATCCTAAATTTTGGTCTGGATTTCAGAGGGTCAAATTTGAGCAACACAGTTTATTTTACTTGATTTGACTTTTTGGATCCAAAAAGGAGCAGCTGAAATGAAGGCACTTTAATGTGTTTTTTAATGTTGGACACACTTTTCTAATTTAATTAGTGATTCCAAAGTCATAGCCTAGAACTTACCTTCTGGTTTTCTAAAAAGATATTTCAATGCAACAAATTCAGCAGTGGGGAGGACCGGGGATGGTTGTAACATGGGGAAAATGTTTAGTTGTATTTATAGGTTTTCTTTGAATTTCAGTATGTGTCTGACATTCACAGAAATGTTTTATTATTTTCAAATGTTAGTGTAAGGCCTTTCCGAGGACCAATGAGTGCTGCATGTCTGCCACCACTTTGATGGTGCAAGACAAAGAAGTACAAACACACACATTAATATTAAGTTGGTGTACATTTGCACATTTTGTTCAGTTGTATTATTATGTTCACTACAGTGACTGACAGCAACAACAGTACTTCGACCCACCCCCCCACCCACAGATACACCGATTATGTTAAAAAATATTTTAAGTGTTGATTAAAAAGCTTTGAATACCATGTTTTTCTCATACTCCTTATTACATAATATTACATTTCAACCCAGGGTATGTAACAACTAACCCAGACTATGGGGTGAAACTTCAGTTTCAACATTAAATATTAAGCAATGGGTAAAATCTCACAATTAATTATTTAGTTGCTAATTAGGTTCAAATTGCCATTCATTGCTTCTGTACTAGTAACCTTTGGGTGTGTGGTGGATGTGTTATAAAATGTCAACAATAAACGGTAATACACCATCAATTATGCAGTTAAACTTGTTAACAAAGATCATAATGCATCATTGCAGTGTCTGGTCAGGGCGTGGCCGTTGTCCTGTTGCTCGGCTACTGGAAGTGCTGCTTGCAGTGTTCTCGAAAACTCATTCGATCAACTTCACACTCGACACTGCGCTCCCTCAGCAATACACCCGCCAAGTGTGAAGTCAATTGGATGGAACGGTTCTCGAGATACGCTAAGGACTGTCAATCACACGTACACACAAACACACACACACACACACACACACACACACAGAGACAGAAAGAGATTACTTCCTAGTTAAAAGAAACTGCTGCAACATCTATTGGCCAAATGGCATCTAATTTTTAAACTTAAACTGCCTTAAGCTTTGGGCAAATAATTTATTTTAAAAAATGATAACAAAGATCGAGATAATGATGATCAATGAACATCACAAGGAAGTAAACATCTATTTAGTAGGGTAAACGTCAAAAGAAAACAAAAAAAAACATAAATTCACTTTAATTTCACCGACACCTAATCACTCAACTTTGTTAAAGTCACGTTCTTAAGGTCCTCTCAATAAACGTGCTTTGCAAATCTGCCTGTTCGATTACAAAACAGTTCTGTGTGTCAAGTTGTGGATGCTAGTACAAAGCTCATGGAGTGTCCAAAATGGAAAAACGTCATCCCCTGGTGAGCACTGACATACTCATGCCTCTAAATCTAATCCGCCGAATTCTTAATTAATTGAGATTTTTACATTTCTTTTGCACAATGGAATGTTTTGGCCAGGTCAGGGGGTCACCAACAACAGTAAGAATCACCCTCCTAGGGTCTGCAGGTGTAAACTGGTGATTTGGGTTAAGAGAACAGAAGTATTATTCCAAACTGATCCAAGGAAAAGGCCTATAACAAGCCTTGATCAAAACAAAAGAGATCCTGGCCACAAGCTAGTTGAACCGCAAAGTAGCCAAATCAGCCTGGATATCATGAAACATAAGTAAACCTACTGTATGTCATGAAAAACTGCACAGAGGGTGATCCCTTTCTCATTACACATTGTTAATAAAAGAAAAGAAAAATAATCTCTATAGAACTTTAAATAGCAAGTAGCCAGCAAACTGATACACCAGGAAATGCACAGTTATTCAAACAGCATGATGGACAGATGTTTTTAGGTATTTACATACATTTAAAAGCTTTTCAAAGGTGGATTGTTTAAAACAGCAGTTGTTTGCACATCTCGGCTTGTAGAGCACTGTATGCCTCCAAAAAGCTGCAAGAAAAGCTGGAGGTTTTGAATGGTGCGAAGAGAAGAGCTTTTGTCTTGCACTGTGAGAGAATGTTCGGAGGTCCCAGCAGCACTGACTGAATGTGAAAGCTAATCTCTAATGCACTTTCATTTCACAATAAACCGCGTAGGAAGAGAGGAATCAGTAAATTCCCAGGCTCATGCTGAGGAGTCAGAAGTCTTTGAATGGAGTGCCACAAAAATGTGAACGCTCTTACACAAACAGAAATGGTCTAAGCACTCAGAAATCCTGCAGGAGCCTGGAGGGAATTGAACTTTCCACAGCCACACAGGCTCACTCCTCCTGCTTGTGCAAGGCTCGACTGGAGTGTAGTTGTCATAGTTTGTCACCATCAAATCTCATATATATATTGAGTGATTGCTGCCAATCCATATTCTCTGTGAATTCATGCAACACAATTCAGGACACAAACGAAACATACTGTATAATCTTCATGCTTTCCACCAAAACCTGTGTCGCCTACTCTTCTGGTACTACTGTTTAAAGTCAGTTACTCAGAACCTTGAGAGACAACAACTGTATCATGTTTGACTGGCAGAATGCTTTTTATGATACTCACTTATCAGTGTATAGTACGGAAGCCCTAAGAGGCCATACATTAATACATTTTATATACTCTGTTTTTACATGATAACAAGTTAATTTAATTTGTTTTCTCGAGATCTCGACTTATTTTTGTCATTGCCTCAAAATAACGTGGTTTTCCTGAGGTCACTGGATCACTTCCCTAGATAACGACATAATTAATTAGAGATCTCAAGAAAACAAAATTATAGCGTAGCACAGCGGTCGGCAAATAAATGTGGCATCGGGCCAGTTTTTTAGCCATTAGATGGCAGGCAATAGTCAAAGGATAGTTTCAGTTGTCAGCATTCCATCAACCTATGGATGCTTTTGGATCTCATTTCCCCAGCATCTCCGGGCAGAGGAGATTCCTGCGCTTCTCGTTCAGGGGAATCCAATCTCACATTTCCTGATGGCTATTTCAGAGGTGTGTCATGTGTCATATATTATAGGTAATTTTTACTCTTCCTAGTAACTAGTAGTGTAAGAGATTACCATTTCCAAAACAGTTATATTACAATACTAATCCAAGTAACACTGCGTTACTGAACGCACCATCCTAGACGAAAGAAAGAAAGAAACTCCAGCCGCTACTGCCAGTGATACTTGGACTCGTCAGGAGAGAGGGGCGTTAACAGTAGATCAAAACTCAGGATTGACTTACTTAATTTTTTTATGTCAGCCGGTGGCGTTAGAGATGTAATATGTTTTGTAAACACCACACTCCTTACTGCTGTTACGAATATGATTAAAAAGTCAGGAGAGACTTCTTTGTTTTGAGGGGTGGGTAGTGAAAGTAATATAGTAACATAATGAGTAACGTAACTAGTCACTATTATCACCCAGTAATAAGTAAAGTAATATTTTTACATTTAACTTATAACAATTTCTGAGTAACTTGTCCAACACTGGTCATACAAGCCACAGACACTTTTTAATGCATTTCAGAACTTTTCAAATTAAGTTATCATTTAACTCAACTTTCTTAAACTTTTATTTTGTAGGCAAAATCACGAAAGAGAAAGTGATACTGTGTGAGTAACTGCTACTGTCAAGACTGAGATCTAGTTCAGCTCCAGCTGTTGTCAAACTAATCTGGCCAAGGCCAGATATGTCAGGATTGGTAGAAGTGAGCAGTAGGTTTGAGCCCAAATGCACGAGGAGCTGACAGATGTTGCAAAGGTTTTAAATCACACACAACAAAAGATCAGGCTTACAGGACATTGAGGTTGTCACGGTCCAGGCAACAGATCAGGAAACAGATCAGGAAACACAACGACAGGTGGAGAACTCTATTCACAACAACAACAATGACCGGACACAGACTAAAGAAACAAGCAAACACTTATACACCAGGCAACGAACAGGGCGGGACCACAACAGGTGACAGGTGATCTGCGACAAACTGGGTTCGAGTTGTAATCTAAGCTTCATGGGGGTCTCACACCCCATTTACACCTCGTATTAAAATGCGATCTGATCCAGATCTGATACAATCTGCTACAGATCGCATTTTACCGGCGGAGATTAATAAATAAATAAATAAATAATGAGAGCGTGAGAGAGAGGTAGAGAGAAATCGTTGCTCATTACATGATCAACATTTCCCTCTTTCACACACACACACACACACGCACACAGCAGTCCACTACTTGCCCCAGATGTTATAGATATTGCATCAAGGTTTAAGTTTCAATAGCCTGTTCAAAGACTATTGCTCAAGGAGAGACGCAATTCCGCCCTTTATGGTAGGTATAATATTAAAGTGTTATTATTTTAGGCACTGCTGGCTGCAGGCACACAGTAGCAAGCATATTATTATGTAAATTAAAGTTACCAAAGTCTATCTCCTGATGCTGGACAGTTTTTTAGTGGCTGCACAACAAACGTGCAAATAGATATAAATAAATAGTTCTAATAATTCTAGCCTTTGATGTTGCTTAGCAACCGTCATGCGCTATGTAGCCTACCGGCA